ATCTACCTCCAAGGATAATTCTCACCAAGTAAAAATAATTTCCTACAGAAAGTTGTCAAAATATACCCAAAAGTGTTATTTCCCTATATAAACTATAGTAAACTTTACCCCCTCCCCAAGGGAGAACGGATAGCTCGGGGGTCCTGAAATTTACAATTTAAGTAAAGCCCCTGATGATCTTTCTTTCCACGCAGAGAAAATGAGTGTAGTACCTCTGAGTCTGAAGAGGAAGATTTTTGAAATATTGGTTAATTTTCCCTTTGCGGCCCCGCCCTGGCCCCAGGGGTTGGGGTAGGAATCCCAATTTTACAATTTTGAAGTCTCATCTACCAAGGATGATTCTGACCAAGTTTGAAAAAAAATCCATCCACTGGTTCTTGAGAAGAAGTTGAAAATGTGAAAGTTTACGCACGACGCACGACGGACGACGGACGACGACGGACGAAAAGCGATTAGAATAGGTCACTTGAGCAAAGCTCAGGTGACCTAAAAATGTGAATTCATCTATTGGAATCTTCTTTGTTTAACAGATTAAAGATAGGTATCTCCCTTCGCAAAATCATACGCACAGGCAATGTTAATCTGGTCAAATTCATCGGCAAATGAAACAGGTTACATTTGGTAGTTGCATTGAGTCCAACTTGAGTAGAAATTGAAATGTTGACATATGTTACTTTACTGTGACTCCGCGACGTTATCAAATTAAAGCTTCTGGAGTTACATTTGGTGTTGTTATATGATAACTATTACCAAATAACAGAACAACAATCTGTGTGGGCGATGTATCTTCATATCCAAACATAAATAACAAATCATCATAGCTATGGAATGTGAAGAAAACTTTTCACCCTTGACTATCTTTAAAACATGAGCATTTGAAAGCTTTAGCGGTATAGATCTTTACGAATCCCAAATGCGTGTTTTATTTTCAGCATTAATTTAGTTGTAATTAAGTGTCAATTAACAATTTAGAGATTAAATTATACCGCAATACATGAGAAGCCACATCTGGATCCTGACTAGAAATCACAAAGAATGGTTAGCTTAACGATTCCTAAACGAACTTTGATATACTTTTTAGTTATGGTTGATTTTCTATCCACATGTATGAGGTCTGCAACGATATTTCGTACCGAATCGTATAGTGATACTTTTTCTTGTGTATCGGTTCCAGTTGTTCTCTTTGCCTGCATCGCGATTCACCATAGGTAGTGACATTATCAATCCCTTGCTTTTTTTTTATTAAACCCGTAAGATTTTTTTGTACTATTCTGGAATCCTTCAGTAAAGACATGGTCCTTTGCGCAAAAGTCCAATGTACGGAAAAACACCGAAGTCTATGAAAAAACTGTAAAATCCTGCACTTAATTTTTATGAAGTTGACTGTTTATCGTATTGAAAGCATCATACCGTGATACGTATCATATAGTAAGCAACGTACCGTGATACGTATCATATAGTAAGCATAATATCGTGATACGTATCGATAGAAAGCATCATACCGTAATACGTATCGTATTGAAAGCATCATACCGTGATATGTATCATATAGTAAACATCGTACCGTGATACGTATCATATAGTAAGATCATATCGTGATACGTATCGTATTGAAAGCATCATTCCGTGATATGTATCATATAGTAAACATCGTACCGTGATACGTATCATATAGTAAGCATAATATCGTGATACGTATCGATAGAAAGCATCATACCGTAATACGTATCGTATTGAAAGCATCATACCGTGATACGTATCATATAGTAAGCATCATATCGTGATACGTATCGATAGAAAGCATCATACCGTAATACGTATCGTATTGAAAGCATCGTACCGTGATACGTATCGTATTGAAAGCATCATACCGTGATACGTATCGTATTGAAAGCATTATACCGTAATACGTATCGTATTGAAAGCATCATACCGTGATACATGTACGTATCATATAGTAAGCATCTTACCGTGATACGTATCATATAGTAAGCATCATATCGCGATACGTATCGTATTGAAAGCATCGTACCGTGATACGTATCGTATTGACAGCATCATGCCGTGATACGTATCGTATTGAAAGCATCATACCGTGATATGTATCATATAGTAAACATCGTACCGTGATACGTATCATATAGTAAGCATCATATCCCGATACGTATCGTATTGAAAGCATCGTACCGTGATACGTATCGTATTGAAAGGATCATACCGTGATACGTATCATATAGTAAGCATCGTACCGTGATACGTATCATATAGTAAGCATCATGTCGTGATACGTATCGATAGAAAGCATCATACCGTAATACGTATCGTATTAAAAGCATCATACCGTAATACGTATCGTATTGTAAGCATCATACCGTGATACGTATCGTATTGAAAGCATCATACCGTAATATGTATCGTATTGAAAGCATTTTACAGTGATAGGTATCGCATTGTTAGCATCATATCGCGATACGTATCGTTTCAGTCCTAATTTTTGTGATCTTTCATATTATATTGTTTCCACTTATTTTATGAATACTTGTAGAATTTGGCCTTGTTTATCGTTGCGCAAAAGTGTTTTGGCATTTTGATAAGGAAATTAATGAATATTATTAAAGATACAGTGTATGTTACATGCATACGGGAAATAAATGGAAGTAAAAGTTTCTTTACGCTAACAAGGCTTTTTGTAAAAGTCTGTGATATCATTACAAAGTACGACACATCTGACATATGGGCAAAGTACATCTTTCTTAAACTATGCCAAAGTATTATGATAAGACATTTCAAAGCTCAGCCACCAGTAGACAATGTAGCAGACCATACAAAGTTACTGAAATGCATTATGTTATCTAGAGTCGGGATAAACGTTTTTTTAAGCTTGGAATGTTTTGCTAATTTCAGTTCCTGTATACCTAGTCTGGCGTTCAAAGAACACGTTATGACATAATGAATTGCTTCCCGCTTTATATTTAAGAGAGCCTGCTGATAAAGACAGACCACTTCATCCACAATATAATTGTAAGTATAGGAAAACATTGTTGGACTTCAAACTAATGTGTTGAAGAATAAGTCGATTTTTTTTTTATAAAAGAATGGTTCGCTCCTAAGGGTGCACTAAACATCCACATTCTACTTCATTTAATCGTGGTGCTAACAATGTTGTAGTCTAGAGGGAAAACATACTACAATCAAACATCAGTAGTGTTTCCATTCGGAACAGCACTATTGTTTCCGTTCGGAATACCACTAGTATTTCGGATCGAAACAGGGTATTTTCGGATTATACAAATTCATTGTTATAAGTTTGATATTTTATCTAAGTTATACATACGAAGCCGTTGCAAATCACACATGTCCACCATTTCCATCATATACACATACACTTTTATATATTATAAACGTATCACTCTTACATGTCACACACGTACAACCCTTACATGTCACACACGTACATCCCTTAAATGTCACACACGTACACCCCTTACATGTCACACCCGTACACACCTTACATGTCACACACGTACACCCCTTACATGTAACACACGTACACCCCTTACATGTCACACACGTACCCCCCTTACATGTCACACATGTACAACCCTTACATGTCCCACACGTACCCCCCTTACATGTTACACACGTACACCCCTTACATTTCGCACACGTACACCACTTACATGTCACACACGTACATCCCTTACATATCACCACATACACTTTTATATATTATAAACGTATCACTCTTACATGTCACTCACGTACAACCCTTACATGTCACACACGTACACCCCTTACAAGTTACACACGTACACCCCTTACATGTCGCACACGTACACCCCTTACATGTCATACACGTACACCGCTTAGATGTCACACTCGTACACCCCTTACATGTTACACACGTACACCCCTTACATGTATATCACACACGTACATCTCTTACATGTCACACACGTACACCCCTTACATGTCAAACACGTACCCCCCTTACATGTCACACACGTACACCCCTTACATGTCGCACACGTACATCTCTTACATATCACACACGTACACCCCTTACATGTCCCACACGTACATCCCTTACATGTCACACACGTACACACCTTACATGTCACACACGTACACCCCTTACATGTCCCACACGTACATCCCTTACATGTCACACACGTACATCCCTTACATGTCACACCCGTACACACCTTACATGTCACACACGTACACCCCTTACATGTTACACACGTACACCCCTTACATGTATATCACACACGTACATCTCTTACATGTCACACACGTACAACCCTTACATGTTACACACGTACACCCCTTACATTTCGCACACGTACACCACTTACATGTCACACACGTACCCCCCTTACATGTTACACACGTACACCCCTTACATGTCACACACGTACACCCCTTACATGTCGCACACGTACACCCCTTACATGTCATACACGTACACCCCTTAGATGTCACACTCGTACACCCCTTACATGTTACACACGTACACCCCTTACATGTCACACACGTACACCCCTTACATGTCACACACGTACATGTTATAATTTTACACACATACTGTATCACACAGATGTATACATCTCATACATGGCAGTTATTATCTGCTAACAAAACACCTGTAGCTAGAAATATTAGTGTTTTAATTCAGTTTTTTCTTACACTAAGAACCTTTTTAAACACATATTTATATATATAGTCGTTATAAAACTATATGTGTTTAGAACTTTAAACATCGAAATGTTGATAATAATGTTTAAAGTAACAGACAATAAAATCATAAAAAAATACTTACCAACTTCTTCCTCCATGTCAAGTATTTGATCCATTAACTCCTCACGCGTTTCCCCGGGGGAGAGGACGTCTACTGACCGCAAACCCGGAAAGGAAGGTTTGGCGATGGAGGGAAGACAGGCTGGACTAGGGACAGGTGTATCAATTCGAGGGAGAGAACTGCCTGTAGACACTCTACTGGCACCACCGGGAGATCTAGACCTGACGCTGTTATCATTGTAAACACTAGCTTCGCGTAAATCTAACACACTCGGCCTCTGCTGTTGTAGCAAATCACGTGGTGCATCACGTGACGTAACACGTGACGCATCACGTGATACTTTTGATTTTGCACTTTTATATCCAATATTACCAATGTTATCAGACGGGGGCGATAAAGGTCTGTGTTTCTCAAGTTGATCTATTCTGAGCTGTAAAGCTCGTAGTTTATCATCCTTTACACTTTCGCCGTCACCAGGGTAGGTTGTAGCCAACTGTTTCTGATCGGACACCGGGGAAGATAACAGGTCTTCCGCTTCGTCCTTTCTTCCGCCTGTTAACCGAATCACTTTATCCTTTAGTATGCTATTTTCCAGTTGGATATTCTCCACCTGTTTCTTTAGCTCCACGTTTCCTAGATGATGTTCCCCTTCTAGGGACCTACTCATTTTCAATCTCGATTGTCGAGTTTGTAACACACACTGCGCGTTCAAACGCTCAATTTCTCTCTCCTTTTCAATAATTTTCCAACGCAGTTCATCTGCCTCTATTTTCATATCTTTAATTTTGTCTTCATAATAATAGTTCGGAGACGACGGTTCGGGTAAAACATTCAGTAATATTTCCTTCTGACGAAGTTCCTCCGACAACTTACCACATTCCATCAACAAGTTTTCATTATCCTCCTCCAAGTCATGAAACTTTTTCTTCAGAACACTCAATTCCTGATTATTCAAATCAAGATGAATTTTCAACTCCGCTTCCTCTTCTGAAGCAGGGAAACCGGTAGTTTCTCGGAACCCCTCTTTACCTTTGATAACCTGTGCAGCAGACATTTTTTTAAGTTGAATACTTAGATTTTCGTTTTCTTCTTCGAGTTCCTCTAGTTTCCTCCTAGAGGTCTTTGCTTCCTCCTCCATGAGTTGTAACTGGTCTTTGAGGTCTGTTTCACGTTCCATGCTATCATACAGGTCCTTCATGAGCTGGGAGCTATCTAATTCCTGACTACTCTGCTTCCCCATACGGCCCAATATCACCTGTGTTAAAAGAAATAATAAAAAATAACAAACATTCTCTATATTATTGTTTGATGTGATCCTAAACATCTTTGTTTCCTACTTACAGCCTTGGATGTGAATTAGGACACCAATGAAGCCATTCAGATACGGAGGTACTACAATAGGTGCCACTGGCAAGTTTTATTAGTGACCTTCAATGTCAGAGACCGGAGAAGAAAACGATGTATTTTGCAGGTGACACCTGAGATGATATACTACATGTACAATGAGAAGAAAGCCATATTTCTTCCTGAACCATCAAGGGCTGGCACCTTTCACGAAACCCTTGTTTGTGAACCTGTATCGTGAAATGGTCATAGATAAAGATATGACTTTATTGCGTGCAACAGAAATCCTTTTTTTACATACTTACTAATAGATACGTTTTTTTTGTATATGCGATACGACACAACTGCTCTAACCCATATCAGCCCTCGCCGTTTCACACCCCAAAACCCGTATCACTAGTATTCCTGCCTCTGTTCCAGCACCATCAGCTTTATAAACTGACAGTTTCATGAAATAAACATTAATTCACAAGCAAATGAATAATGGGTCTAACCCATATCAGCCCTCGCCGTTTCACACCCCAAAACCCGTATCAGCCCTCTCCGTAACATCCCGTAAAACCCGTATCACACCCCTTTTGGAAAAAAATTCGTTTTTTAAGATTTCAAAAGAAACAAAGATCATAAGATAGTAGCTTTTATTAGTAAGTTTGTAATAAACAGAATAAAACACGCCTTTTTCCATATCACACTCAGTATCAACCCTCGACCGATATCAGCCCTCGGGCTGATATTGCAGTCTCGGGTTGATACTGAATGTGATACATACATGTGAATTCACCTTAACAATGTGGTTCATGTACTAGATACACTATGCCAAAATGAGCCACACTTCACCGCACATCTGTTAAACCTTCTAGGACTCATCGGTGATGCTAGGGTTCAAAAATGCAGAAATCCAACAAATGCGTCATCGAAGAATGTTCACCGATTGTTTAAACAATAGCGATTTTTTTCAAATACTGCCAAGTTGCTGGGTGAACGTGTGTAGTAAGGTATTAGACTACCGATCAATTGTTGTGCTATTTAAGGTTCAGAACTAGTATTCCTGCGGCTGTTCCAGCACCATCAGCCTAATAAACTGACAGTTTCATGAAATTAACATTAATTCACAAGCAAATAAGTAATGGGTCTTAAAAATATTGGTCCTCAAATAGTACTTACAAGGTAACTTGTCATGTTTGAAATGGTTTAGAAAAAAGGACAATTTACCTAGTCTTATGGTTTTTATATCATCAAACTAACAATGCTTGATCAGCAGGTTTCTCAGCTTTAGTTCTATGTACTTGTCACTCTCTATTAGGGAGGTAATATGCCACAGCCACATTATTTCACGAACCTAACAACCACCATCTGTCACCGATACAGTATTGTTGTATGTCAGTGTATTTCTTTTAACAAAACTGCGATGCTTAAAGATAATCAGAGGTGTCGTCTGTTCTAATGCAGAACATTTGTTCGTTTGTTTATCAACTTTGTTGTTTCTTGTTGACACAACACATACAATGCACATGCCGGGTATCGACGCTGTGGTATACTGAATATATTGTAATTTTCGAGGGGAATTTAGTTTCGCTATCCTCGTGAGCGCATATTTTTACCTGACAATGTTGCGTGAAATTTAGTCCCCGCGAAGTAGTTCTGATTAGGACAACCGTGAAACGGCGAAATTAGGCAGTTCCACAGTATTTTGTCCTTATATGTTGACGCTTAAAAAACCCATTTATCGCTGTGATTTCTTTTGTCACAGTGTTTTGACGCTGTGATATATTTTGTCATTGTGTGTTGACGTTGTGGTATGTTTTGTCACTGTACGTTGACGCTGTGGTATATTTTGTCATTTTTTGTTGAAACTGTGGTATATTTTGTCATTGTGTGTTGACACTGTGATATATTTTGTCCTTTTGTGTTGACGCTGTGGTATACTTTTCATTGTGTGTTGACGATGTGATATATTTTGTCCTTTTGTGATGACGCTGTGTTATATTTTGTCATTTCGTGATGACGCTGTGGTATATTTTGTCCTTGTGTGTTGACGATGTGGTATATTTTATCATTGTGTGTTGACGATGTGATATATTTGTCCTTTTGTGATGACGCTGTGGTATATTTTTTCATTGTGTGATGACACTGTGGTATATTTTGTCCTTGTGTGTTGACGCTGTGGTATATTTTATCATTGTGTGTTGACGATGTGATATATTTGTCCTTTTGTGATGATGCTGTGGTATATTTTTTCACTGTGTGATGACACTGTGGTATATTTTGTCCTTGTGTGTTGACGATGTGGTATATTTTATCATAGTGTGTTGACGCTGTGATATATTTGTCCTTTTGTAATGACGCTGTGGTATATTTTTTCATTGTGTGATGACGCTGTGGTATATTTTGTCCTTGTGTGTTGACGCTATGGTATGTTTTGTCACTGTACGTTGACGGTGTGATATATTTTGTCATTGTTTGTTGAAACTGTGGTATATTTTGCCAATGTGTGTCGACGCTGTGATATATTTTGTCATTGTGTGTTAACGCTGTGGTATACTTTATCATTGTATGTTGACGCTGTGATGTATTTTGTCATTGTGTGTTGACGCTGTGGTATATTTTGTTTGTGTTGACAATGTGGTAAATTTTATCATTATACATTGACAATGTGGTATATTTTGTCATTGTGTGATGACGCTGTGGTATATTTAGTCCTTTTGTGTTGATGCTGTGGTATATTTTGTCAATGTGTGTTGACACTGTGGTATACTTTATCATTGTCAGATGACGCTGTGATAATATTTTGTCCTTTTTTTCTGACGCTGTGGTATATTTTGTCATTGTGTGATGACGCTGAGGTATATTTAGTCCTTTTGTGTTGATGCTGTGGTATATTTTGTCAATGTGTGTTGACACTGTGGTATACTTTATCATTGTCAGATGACGCTGTGTTAATATTTTGTCCTTTTTTTCTGACGCTGTGGTATATTTTGTCATTGTGTGATGACGCTGAGGTATATTTAGTCCTTTTGTGTTGATGCTGTGGTATATTTTGTCCTTGTGTGTTGACGCTCTGGTATGTTTTGTCACTGTATGTGACCCTGCGGTATATTTTGTCAGTGTTTGTTGAAACTGTGGTATATTTTGTCATTGTGTGTTAACACTGTGTTATATTTTGTCATTGTGTGTTGACGCTTTGGTATGTTTTGTCACTTTACGTTGACGCTGTGGTATATTTTGTCATTGTTTGTTGAAACTGTGGTATATTTTGTCATTGTATGTTGACGCTGTGATATATTTTGTCATTGTGTGTTAACGCTGTGGGATACTTAACATGGTGTATTGACGCTGTGATATATTTTGTCCTTTTGTGATGACGCTGTGGTATATTTTGTTCTTGTGTGCTGACGCTGTGGTATATTCTGTCATTGTGTTGACACTGTGGTATAATTTATCATTGAGTGATGACGCTGTGATAATATTTTGTCCTTTTGTGATGACACTGTGGTATATTTTGTCATTGTGTGATGACGCTGTGGTATATTAAGTCCTTTTGTGTTGATGCTGTGGTATATTTAGTTATTGGGTGATGACGCTGTGGTATATTTTGTCCTTTTGTGATGACGCTGTAGTATTTTTTTTCATTGTATGATGACGCTGTGGTATATTTTGTCCTTTTGTGTTAACGCTGTGGTATATTTTGTCATTGTGTGATGACGCTGTGCTATATTTTGTCATTGTGTGTTTACGCTGTGGTATATTTTGTCCTTTTGTGTCGACGCTGTGGCATATTTTATCATTATACATTGACGCTGTGGTATATTTTGTCTCAGTATGTTAACGCTGAGGTTCATTTTGTCCTTGTTTGGTGACGCTGTGTTTTAATTTTGCCTTTGATTTGACTCTTTGGTATAGTTTGTAAGTTTGTATTGGTATTTCTCCGTTCTTTCGGGTGAAAGCTTTAGTATATTGGGTAATGTTTTCTCTATAAATTGTGGCATTTCTGTTTGTTGACATAATGGAATTTGTTTGATCATAGAGAAGATTTTGTACTTTTGTGTTGACGCGTTATGTTTAAACGTTCCTTGGTGTGTTGACACTGTGACATAATTCGTCAGTGCACTTTGACGCTGGGGTATATGTTGTCATTTTGTGTTGAAATTCATATTAATGATTTATTTCGCTGACAAGAATATAAACATGTACGTTCTTTTTCGGTTCGCTGTGTGTTGATACCGTATTACGGTGGAATATTTAGGACATGCACAATATTATTTTATTCATTAATTACCTGGACATATTATCTCGAGCCTCGACTTATTGATAAACTATGTGTTATCCATTTCCTTCTACATCTTTGGCATAATACGTTACATGCACTGTCATTCCTTGTCTAGTCGAATCATGCAGTCGTAAGCATGGTTTTGGTTTACTCTAAGTGCCCGATCCTGCACATGTTTCAGGTTGATAAGTCATTAAATAAACCGAAAGTGTTTCCTTATAATAACAACTCCAACAACCTAAGTGGGGTATACATTGGTCTTAGGTGGAAATTGGGGTATCTGTGCTGTAGCATTCAAGTGAGGTGGCACTATAAAGGATACCGTTGGAAGCACGGACCCACTACAAACAGAACACATTACATCTCCAGCACACACGCAGGCATACACACATGGGAGATATAAGCCATGTGACATAAGACTAGTAGTAAACGCCTGATAAGGCAGCTCCTGAGAATTCCTCAAAATTGTATTAATTAATATTAATTGTATATATATGTACTGTAAAGCGCTAAAGTGTGGCTTATGTTAGCGAAATAAGGCGTTATATCAAATGTTGTATATTATTATCATTATTGTTAATATTAATAACCTAGCAATTCTGTAATCCCCAACTTTTAGAACTGACACATAAAGAATTTACACA